AACTTCGTTGATCACAGGGCCAGTGTTGTCCGTGGACTTTTTGCGACCACAGAGACCCGCCATCTCGACACCGACCATCTCGTCCAGCTCAAGCAACATGCCATGAAGGGCGGACTCTGCGCGCCGCAGAGACTCCAGCGAGGGATGTGTGGGGATGGGACAGGAAGGACCGACAATGGCGCTATTTTCTGGCCCGTATTCACGTTTCCGAAGTCCAGCCTTGATGCGGTAGGGCGCGGGTGGTTCGTTCTTGGCAGTATAGTAGATCAGTTTCTTCACAAGTAGGAGGTAGCGCGGCAGCCTTTGGACCGGTGCCAATAAGTAGGCGGTGATATCGCGCAGTTCACAGGCAGGATGACGCTGCAACTTCTATAAGAGGCATCAAAAGAGTTTTCTAAAAGCACCAACATTGAAAGGTCCTCATTATCGGTATTAATAGCATCGTTAACAACAGCGCTGCCATCAAAATTGTAGCGCTCATTATTACCGTTATTATCGTTATTACACTTATCGGTGTCCTCTTTTAGACTGCATTCGCGTGATTTAACTGAAATATTCAAAAGTTTGATAATAAACGACTTAGCGCAGCCAAAAAGTAGTAACTGAAGAACCCTCCGTCCTATGCGATATTTTTGGGTTATAAATAAGCATTTTTGCAACAGTAGTTTAAGTAGTGCACCTCATATACCCTTAGTCCCAGCATTTATTCTACGGAAGCGATGGTTATAGGGAGTTTATGAGTGGGGAATTAGGATAGGCAGTGAAATATACTTTAATAACTGCTATATGCTTTCTGTTTTATTTTATTTAGAAATGTTGTTGATTTATATCTGTAGAGTTTCCTAATCTGTATCATCTTTTCACGTATTGTGGAAAAATCCAATTATCAGGTTTCTTGAAATCCCCGAAAAAATGCAAATGGTGGTTGGGAGGTCGCCTGCTTCAACTTACCCGAGGTCCAGCTTTCCGTTCTGGAGTTAGATTAGTATAGTCCGCGACGCGATGTGCCGTGCACACCCTCAATCTAAATGTGGAATATCTTATTCCCAGCGGTCGCGGGAAGCAAATTCAACTGCATTTTTTCAATTCCCACTGTCTTCTACAAATTGCCTTAACTGCCTGTCCAATTTCTCCATCCCTAAAACCCCTTTTACCACCAGTCTCGCACGACATGTTGTTGGGGGTTGGGATGTATAAGGTGCACACCTTAAACTACCTTCGCCAGCATCTGTTTTGTCAAAATTAAAAATGGCATGCAACAGACCAAAACCTCCACGATCGATAAGCTAGGCGGTCTCCTACCCACAGTTATGAAACCTGAATATAACATCCATAGCAAGCGCCAAGGATTCATTTACATTTAATCGAATCCCCTGTAACAAACCTACCTTGAGGTTACGTTTGAGCGTGCTAGATCCGTGACGCATTTCGGACAGGGCCTGCATAGCCAAGGAGAATTCTGACAGATAGCGCATGTAAAGGCGGAAGAAGGGAGCCACGGACCAGGCAGGCACGCCGTGGTAATAGGAGGCAAAGTGGGTGTGAGTAGCATAGCCCAATGGCTGGCGTCCATCGATCATGTCTGCGAGCACTCTAAAAGGGCAGATGGAACGTTCGGACCTGTCTCCACTCATGGACCTAGATCGGCTTTGAGAAGTTTCGCTTCTATCCAGGGCGAGTTTCATCTTGCCCGAGGCCACCCTGTGTAGATTGTAGAGGTCATCAATTGCAGCAGGGAAGAGCCGTCTATGGAAGGAAATAGAGACGGGAAGTTGCGAGCCAGAAAGAAAGACAGATACATCAGATAACTCGAACAAAATTTAATAAAGAGGCTGGGTTTTTGATGTCAAACCAATTATCACTTCCCTCTCAAACTTGGTGTAGATAGGTAAGAGGTCCGTGACGGCTTATGCAGTCGCAAAAGTGAAAAATCGAAAGCGCAAATGAAAAACAAGTTGAAACATCCGAGAAGTTAGTTGATTTTGCTTGTCAACCGAGATTTAAAGCGGAGCTAGTAAGATGGTTCCTAGCCATGGCTTTCGGCCAGTCTGTTTTGCCCAGCTCTTACGATAAATGCATGCTTTCTTGCAAGATTAAAGGCACTTTCAACCTATAAATCTACGTTTTGGTAGCACAGAAAGCTGTCTAATGTGGACGAATATTGGAATCCGATTTAAACTCTTTTTACACATAGCAGTATACTGTGCACCGAAATTCCTCCATATAAACCCAACCCAATTATCACGTAGCATGTTAATGTTTTTCTGTTCAATAGTTTGCAAGGTCTGACTGCAAATAAAAGGACATTTTATGACGTCCTCAGCGTTTAGAAATTCTTGACCAATGGCAAACAATACTTGCATGGTTACTTTTAATGGAGTGTTATTTGGTGAACTGCCTCGAATAAGTACAATACTATAGGTGACAAACAATAAGGCAATAAGGCAAGCCAGCAATTACGTAGTTATAGTGTACGATCGACCGCATGTATGGGGGGCAATCAGGTTTTTGAATGGAATGGTAGTAAGTGGGCCACTTAAAATCGTCCACAGTCGAATAGAAGACCACTAAACTCAATGAGACTATTAATTACTGATAGAAGTGAAAAGAAAAGTTCCATGCAGCAGCTCAGAAGCGAAAGATGCGATCCTTGGAACAAGAAGTTTGTAGACCTGACACTTTTGCTTCTAGCTCGAACCCAGCATGAGAGACAACCGCAGATAAGAATGATACAGACACAAAGTGCACTCTACAGACTGCAGTTACTACGCACCTTGGACCATTACTAGCTTTATCTGCGACTGTCGCGGATGATAAGTTGTAGCAAGAATTTGAAATGACAGACCAATAAGGTTTTTGTTCCAGCTATTGACTCCTATCTCATCGGCCACTCATTACTGCTTTCTTGACCTTTTATCGATGGGAGATTCTGTTACTTTAAGGAAATATAATTGGACATGAGAATATGCACCTAATGTTAAGTTCCGAAAGGTAAAAATTAGGAAAATTAGTATAAAAGTTGGAGTTGGGGTTAGTGTTATGGAGTAACCCTAAAGGTAAAGAAGAAATACGGAAATAGGTATGCAACTGCAATTTAGTGTAAGGCAACGCAGGGAGTTCATATTTCGGTGTCCGAATGAAAATATTTCAAATTGCACGTAATGAAAGGGATTAGAGATTTTTCTGGATGAGGAAAACGTGTAAGAGGATGGACGTTACTGAAGTGGCATGTCCATTTTTATATTTGTCTTAATAAAAAGCAAATTATTTACTTCCCTAATTTGGCGTGGAACAGAATTTAGCAGTGTGTATTTGAATAACCCCGCCAACCCTGTTTCACGTTCATTAGAGAATCGGTGCTAACTCTACATTTTTTCCTTTAGCGAATCGGCCCCAATTATCGGAGAAGACTTTGTGTTTCTGATAACTTTGCATGTTTATAAGTAGATCATGCGGTGGGGGATTGAGTTTATGCCGTCGAGTTTAAATGATTTTACAATTACCACTTTCAGGCAACTAAAAACGAAAGCCGGTTGAAGCATTAAAGAACGGCATATGACGAGAGCTCTGAGCCTGCATTTCCAGTCTCTGAAGGAGGATAGCCGAAACAACTGCCCGAACTATCAGACACCTAATAAACCCTGGCGAGGATTTCTTCCAAACAACAACATAATTTACTTCTTATAACTAATTATTTATTTTGTTATCGTTTATTACTTTTACTTTACTTTTACTCTTATACCTTCTAGTCAAGTAATTATTTGGTTCAGTTAGTTTATTTTAGCTTAACGTGGTTTACTTAGTTTAGTTTGGTTTTAGTTTAGCTGAGCTTTTAGTTTATTATTTATTTGTATCAGGTTTAGTTTTGTAATTTTACGTTACTTTACTTTAGTTTTATTGTTTTTTAGTATTTATTATTTTAGTCGTTTGCCATATCTTGTTGTACCCAACCCATATAATCCCTACTCTCACCGGTCCTGTGTTACACAAATCTGGGGTATTTTGTTATTGTGGTGCTGTTTATGAGGGATTCTTGCCCAAACGTCCCCCGGCGAGCACTCCTTGTTCTTTTGAATTACTGTTTTAACTATTGTAAGGAAGATGGGAAATTTTGTGCCCAAAAGGAGCAATTGAGGGAAACATTTCCTTTTTGTTTTAATCTAAAAAATATCGTTACAAGTCACCGTTTACTTGAGGACATTTGGGAAGAAAATAACTTATCCAAAGTAAACGTAGAGGAAACGGTTTAAACATTCTAAATCTGTCGGTTTTGACATAAAAAGAAGGAGCTTTCCCGACCAACGGAAAGGTTGAAGATGGGGAATTATTCAAGTTAATCAAACACGATTTGTGTCGAAAGCTCTAAGAGATGTCAGAAGTGTCATGAATTGCTCAACGCACTGTTGGCAAACGTTTGCATGTACTGTACATAGTAAGAAAACAAGGTATTTGGATGCCGCCTCAATTGATTGCAAGCCAACATGACAAGTATCGAACTATGTGTAATGTATTTCT